TGACCTTGATATATAAGGGAATTTTAGTGGAATATGAGGGAATATTTTGGTGTAATTAATAAAATTGCTAAAAACAAATAAATAAATAACGGTTAATTAATAATAAGTATACTTTTTTCGTTATTTCCAACTATTTTGCTGGCTAGAATTTGCTGAGAAATTGCTATTTGTAAATGAAAAAACAACTTTGTTGTGTAAGTCGTGTAAATTCATTGATCATAAAGAGTGAGAATTGTGAAAAATATTCAGTTCTTGAAACTTCTGGAATAATGGATTTTTAATAATGATTTAATTTAGATAAAGTGAGTGAACATCAAAGATCACACAACAGAATTGCGCGCGTGCGAGCTCTCTCTCTCTCCCTCTCTCTCTCTACCGTTAAGTAACTTGTGCATTGTTTTACTTACTTGTTTTTGACGTATCCGACCGAACTACAAACTTTCCAGTGATGTCTGTGAGAAAGATATATTCACTCGACAAGCTCGCGCATCTGTGCCGCCGCGCGCTCAATCCACTCAGCTCGCTCTGCTTTTCAGCTCGCGCACATCAGCTATAAAGGCGTTAATACTGAATGTTTAACGTTATATTCATTGCATACATATACTTCGTAGTAGACATCCTTAACTCCTTTCTGCTGTCTGTTGTTGGTGTTTCTTTGTTTGAATATGGCGCTTATCACATGCTGTGTGGTATCGGCGTTTGGTATCGGGGCATTTTAACGAGTACGAGTACGAGTACAGGAGCTCAGTATCGGGCCCGATACCGATACCAGTATCGGTATCGGTGCATCCCTATTTTAATATATAGTTTGTGTAAACATAACAGTTTGAAAACAAGAAATTTGCCAAAAGGTGACTAGTTTCTGCAAGTTTCTGCAGCATGAATTGTTATTGACTCACAGTAGACACTGAGGGTGGCCTTGGCGGTTTGAGTGCTGACGGCGTTGCTGACGGTGCATGTGTATTCTCCTGCATCATCTCTCCTGGCCTGTTTGATGAGCAGAGATCCAGTGCTGATAGTAATGCGGCTGTCAGAGGACAGAGCAGTGCCTCCTTTACCCCAAACCACACTGACCTCTGAACCCGCAGACCAGCTGCAACTCAGAGACACGTTCCCACCTTCCAACGGCAGAGACAAACTCACTCCGTTCACTGCATCTGAAGAAGAAAAACAAAGACAGGGTGAGCAGACAATGCAAAGAATATGTTCATTATTAAAGGGTTAGTTCACCCAAAAATGAAAATTCTGTCATTAATTACTCACCCTTATGTTGTTCCAAACCCATAAGACCTTCGTTCATCTTCGGAACACAAATTAAGATATTTTTGATGGAATCTGAGAGCTCTCTGACCCTCCCATAGACAGCAAGGGTACTACCATGATCAAGGCAGAAACACAGCAAGGAGATCTGTAAAATAATCCATGTGACATCAAGGGGTTTAACCGTAATTTTACGAAGCTACGAGAATATTTTTGTGCGCAAAGGAAAACAAAAATAACGATGTTGCTCAACAATTCGTCTCCTCTGCGTCACCCTAGCGCCATTTTGGACAGTATCCACTGAACGTAAACGGCGTATGCTGCTCTGTGTCAGCTGCGTCATGCGGATACGTTGTCTACATTGTTTGCACTTTGATCTGAACGAAAACAACGTATCCGTGTGGCGCAGCTGACACAGAATAGCATACGTTCAGTGGATACTCTCCAAAATGGCGCCAAGGTGACGCGGAGGAGATGAATTTTTGAGTAAAGTCGTTATTTTTGTTTTCTTTTGCGCACAAAAAGTATTCTCGTAGCTTCGTAAAATTACGGTTGAACCCTTGATGTCACATGGATTATTTTACCGATCTCCTTGCTATGTTTCTGCCTTGATCGTGTAAGGACCCTTGGGGTCTATGGAGGGTCAGATAACTCTCAGATTCCATCAAAAATATCTTAATTTGTGTTCCGAAGATGAACGAAGGTCTTACGGGTTTTGGAACGACTGAGAATGAGTAATTAATGACAGAATTTTTGGGTGAACTAACCCTTTAACCCTCCTGTTGTGTTGGGGTCAGTCGATTTTCTTACTGCTTGAAACACTGGCTAAACTATTTATTTTTTTGACATTTTGTGAATAATTTACATTTAGAGTCATGAATGTGCATGCAAAGTTTTGACACAGTAGATGTTTTTTGGAAAGTCCGAACAAATCAGGGTTATTATAGCTAACAAAGACTAAAGCTAAATCCAAAAACAATTTTTACTTGAATTAAAATAAGCTTTAACTGAAATAAAATACAAATAAAATACTTTAAAAAAAAAAGTTATTTTATTTGCAGTTAGATGCCAAGGCAACATTTCATATTTTAATTTAGTTTACCTAAAAATATTTTTTAGTTTACTGAAATATCTAAAACTAATAATGAAATGTAAAACAATGAAACAATATAGACATATTTAAATAAATAAATGACACAACAAAATTACTAAAACGAACTAAAATAAAATAATAATAATACTAATAAAGATCATAAACCTATAATATAATTTCTTGTTATGGTTTTACATCTGTATTTAACCTCAGAATGATCTCAAAGTAAGTATTATTTTGTGGTAGCTGTGCTTTAAAATTAAATTATTATAATCTTAATTCAAGTGATGAAGGATTTTGAAAATGACAGTAATCAGTGTTGAGTACTGTAAGGTTAACCCTGCCTGGTTTACATGTTTGAAAATGATTAAAACATTTGAAAACATTAGGAATTTATAAAAGTAATCAAATGTAATCACTTTAGTAAAGTAATTGAAATAGTTACACTACTTATTACATTTTAGACAGGGTAACTTGTAATCTGTAACCTAATACATTTCCAAAGTAACCTTCCCAACACTGCATATGCAGCATCGTTTGATCGTACCAAACACCTTGAGCTGCACTGAACGGGTGTTCACACCGAGTCCAGTGATGGACGTCGACAAGGGTTCGACCGAGACGCTGTAGTTTCCAGAATCGCGGATCTGGCTGTTGGTGATTTTGAGCTGAGTGGCGGTAACAGAGATCCTGCCCTGGTACTGCGGGACGGACATTACGTCAGGGCTCCCCACATGGCCAGCGCAGTCGCTGCGCTATCGCTCCATCTGATGAGGGACACATCAGACACCGTCTGTACTGTGAAGAAGGCATCTTTCCCTGATGCCACCAACACCGGTGTCTTCTCGAACTGAACCCAGACACACAATGACCAAAGGCAAACCTATGGAGAGTTGCATGTAAAGAAAGCGAAAGCGAAAGCTGCTTCAGCTATTTGTTGAGTTACATCATATTTCAAAATGTATTTGCATTAGATAAGAGCAACAAAAATATCAAAGCAAGTGCTATTTGATGCTATTCAAATGCTGCATCTTTTCTTCATTATATCTGCTCAGTGACTTACACAGTAAATTGAAACCCCACTTAAAACCACACAATACAAACACAAAGAAATAAAGCTTAAATGTGAATGCATCTGAATGAGAGAAATTAATGTTGTATACGCATGGGTGTAGCATGAAGAGACACGCAAATGATGCGCATAAAAGTGCTTGAAATAGCACTTCAAACAAAACAGGAATGCTGTGTCTACTGTCTACACACTTAACCTTTACATTATGTCTTGCATCTCTCTGTGTTTTGTTTTTATTCTTTGGCATGTGTTTTGAACACAATAAGGTGTTGGTCATTATATAACCTAACTGTTTTCACATTATTCGTTTTTTTTGTTTTATGAAAATGGAATTTGTACTAATACCTCTAGTTTACACAAAAGGGTCAAAATTATTATTTTTGCATCAGTTATGTATTGCATGTTGCATTTGTTTAGGCTTAAGTTTTATATTTAGGAAGAAAGTATCCTGATAACACATGCATCATGTAGACGTCTATTTGATGTTTGCTTTTTCATCTTAAAGATGTATTTTTCTTACATTTCTTGCCATATAATAATACATTCAGAAAAAGTGTTTAAGATGTTTATCATTTTGCATGCACATAAAACTAGTTTGTCAGGTACAAAATGTTTATTTAGATTAACTTGTCATATTCAACTTACTTGTCAGTGAGAAAACCACAACAGGATGCAGCAGTGTTCATGTCAGTCTGGAGGGCCTGAGCAAAACATTTAATTAGTTTCCAGATGTTTAATTCCAGCACATATTAAAGCATATAAATCATAATAATAAGAGACATTCTGTCAAAATAAAAGAGATACTAACATCAATCACTATCTCATGTGAGAGCGCATATTAACAAGAGGCTACTACAATTAGCCTACAGCGCACACACAACTATAGAGCCTACAAAAGTTAATTAATCAGACCGTATTAAAATGAGAAATTAAAGCTGTTATATACACTTACTATGCGGTTTTCATTTTTGTGTCCTACTTTGGTTTGCTTTCACTTCCTGCTTTACCTGTCTCGCCTCACCTCACCACCACAACAACTGAGAAAGAAGGAAATAATGTATTTTGCTAATGTAGAAAACGAAGTAATGTAGAAATAAACACGATCGCTGCTTCACCCCGACGGATGTACAAACAGTTACTTAATGTAGCCTGTTAATTAATACAAATCTCGCCTGAGGTCTAATGTTTACATCCTGTCACAGTAAACCGCATGACCACGCCCACTTCTTTCTCTTCAGCGGATTCGAGCTTGTCAATCATCGCTAGAAGAAAATATTTTTATTAGAAATGTGTTAATAACATTAAATAAACAGATTATAAAAGTCTCTTTATATTTAGAATTTTTACGTATTCCGACATATTCGAAAATTAACGTTTATATATTCCAAAATGAAATTTTGAGCGATTTGTTTGCTACTTCCTTGTTAACAAAAACAATACATTATTACTTTATTACTACAATATTTTTTTCTAGTATACTAACCATTAAAATCTAAACTACTTTGATACAGGAAATAATAAATTAAAATATTTTAAAGTCTGCATCATCACACAGACGTCACGTCACGTCACGCAGGCGTTAGTTCAGGTTAGAGCCGTTTCTATGGCTCTGGTTCAGGTGAAGTCAGACGATGGACAGTTATTATTTACCTGAACTTAATGCGATACGACAGAGAGTAAACACGGGATTCAAGCTTTGAAAGTCAAGGTAAGATAGTTTATTTCGACCTGAAGGGCATTTATTAACGTACGTCACAAAAGTGCATCCAGTCAGTTTTTCGAGTGAGTGAATTAATCAGAAATAAGGCAGAAATCTCTTTAATGATGTCTAATTTGTCAGGTGTCATGGGGTCATGGATGCTGGTTTGGATTCTGTGTACCACAGTCACTCTGAGTGAGTCTGCTGTTATGAAATACTAGTTAATACTATATAAAAGCTGCTTGGGCAGTTCGACATGTCGTGTAATATTACTTCAAAGACGAGTCTAATCTCTGTTTTGTTTTTTCTCATTTTGCTGGGCAGCAGAAGAAAACTTGCTTTGTCCACCAAAAAAAAACAAAACAGAAGTCTATTAAAATTCTTCAAGCAAACATGGGAATTATTTCTATACAAAAAATACTCTCTTAGAAACAAAGGTACAAAAGCTGTCACTGGGGTGGTACCTTTTCAAAAGATACACTTTTGTACCTTAGGTTCTAATATGTACACTTTACTTACTAATATTTACTCATATGTACACTTTACTTACTAATATTTACTCATATGTACACTTTACTTACTAATATTTACTAATATGTACACTTTAAGGTACCAAAATGGACCCTTTAGGTACAAATGTGTACGTTTTGAAAAGGTACTGTCCCAGTAACAGCTTTTGTACCTTTGTTTCTGAGAGCGTATAAATAAACAATGCTGTTTAAATATTGGAATGCATTTTCAAAAATGACTTGTGAATAGAAAAAAACCAAACTATTTTTTCATCAATTATTGAGTCCTCTGGAGTGACAAAATCAGTTTCGTAATTCTATAAATTCATTGAAAATCATTCTAATCAGGAGCCCTATTTAGAAAATAAAATAATTTCTAAATAAACATGATCTCGTTTACGTCCCCGATAGATTTACACAAAACAATATATATATTAAAATAAAGTAAAATATTAAAGCATTAATTAAAGTAAAAGTATGGAAATGATATCAGTACAGAAAACAATGTAAATCCAAATGCTATTTAAATATTATATTGCATTTTCTAAAATATATTTTACATGTTACATAACATTTTATTTTTTTTCACCAATATTCAGTCCTTTGGAGTGACAAAATCCTATCATTCTGAGATAATTAGAAATATCAGCCCAACAGAAAATAAATAAGGGGTTTTCATGCTTGTACTTTAAGATTGTTAAAGTTTTACCTCCTAAAACTACTCCAAATCACATACATAAAAATTACATCCATTTTTCATTAAAAGTGGAAACATAAAATAACAAGTTACCAGTCAGTTGTTCAACTGGATTCTCACTCAAGCCTTTGTTACTAAAAACATACTAATTATTTTCAATAACTTTCATCAGTGCCTGTGTGTCTTCATGGAGCAATATCGGTCCGTTTTAAAACCGGACGGCTTCTGAATGTTGCACTTGGCCAAACTCTTGTTTTGGAAGCCATATTTGAGAAGGATCCAGATGACAAGATAGACATGGTGACGTGGGACCGCAAGAGAGGAAGAGACAATGTCAGACTGTCACATGCAAACAGAATATCTTTGGAGAAGGAAGATGCACTTCTGCGGGTCACTGATGTTGCAGAAGGGGACTTTGCGATCTACAAGGTCACCGTTACAGACAGTAACGGATACCAGCAGTACGACTCAATAGAAGTGCGAAAGATAGGTAAATTGCTTACATTTAACTATGCAAATGTTGCTTTACGATTGACCTGTGCACCAGCTGTTTTGAATATTTTCTTCACATGCACAGCTATTTAAATTTAAAGGCAGCCTGTCGTGCAAAACAAAAAAAACTAGTTGAACAGGATGTTTTCTTCTTTTCTTACGTACTTTTTCTTTTCTTTTCAGTGGAACCTCTAAAGGCGTCAATTGCACGCGTGCTGGAGTGTGTTGTGGATAATCATGGCATGACGCAGTGGGACAGCCCTCAGTTTTCATGGCTGGTTGATGGCGTTACAGTAACCAATCAAACCGCCCTGTTAGCAGACGGCAGTAGACTAGACATTTCTGAGGTTAAGGGCGTTAACTTCACCTGCATCATCAAGAGCAGCCTGGGGACAGTGACTACACATTATCAAATACCAGAAGGTATTGTTCAATGCCAAGAACACATGGCATTTTTAAATTTTTCATGACGTGACGTGACATGTGGCCAAGTGGTGACCCATACTTGGAATTAGTGCTCTGCATTTAACCCATCCAAAGTGCACACACACAGCAGTGAACACACACACACCAGTGGGCAGCCATTTATGCCCCCAGGGAGCAGTTGGGGGTTCGGTGCCTTGTTCAAGGGCACCTCAGTCGTGGTATTGAAGGTGGGAGAGAGCACTGTACATTCACTGCCCCCCACCTACAATCCCTGCTGTTACGAGACTCGAACCCGCAACCTTTGGGTTACGAGTCCGACTCTCTAACCACTAGGTTATGGGGAAATCCCTTCCCCATTTTGAGAGGTAATTGTCCCATGTAAATGTCATTTTTCACCCTAAAATGTTCTCCACACCATGCGAAAAACATCAAGAGAAAAAAAAAAACTTGGAAACACTTTACAAAAATGTCCCATTAGGTAACATAAGTTAATACATTAACCAAAATTAACTAACAACAGTTTATTAATGTTTGTTAAAATGAATTAATAGCAGTGTTGGGGAAATTTACTTTTAAAAGTAATGCATTACAATATTTCGTTACTCTCTGAAAAAGTGACTAATTATGTTACTTTTGTGGAAATTAAATAATTTTGTGGAAGTTTTTATGGAAAGTAATGTTACATTTTTGTTACTTTGTCTCATTTGTGCTGGGCTTGCTTGTTTGTTTTTAATTTAACTTTTTTTTTTTTTTGGCAAATGTAAAACCCCTTTCATACCAGAAGTGAAATGCATGAGCCTCATGCTGAAGGAAATGTAAATTCACATCTGTAGAGGGCACAGATCAAACAAACCTCCGATATTTTCTTGTAAATTAAAAAGTAATGCATTACTTTACTAGTTACTTGAAAAAAGTAATCTGATTACGTACTTGTAATGCGTTACTAATAATAAAACGGTTCATTTTTAGTATATTTTTTAGTTCAGGTCCATTACTGTAAATAATATTAACAAATAACTTTTCATTTTAACGCTCATGTTGTGTTCTGGTCATTTTGACCTAGAGAGGATCATGCTATATTATTGAATTGGACTAAAATCTGCTGGCTTTGTAACTTTGCAAATTTTATTTTATTTTTCTTTCCTGGTTTTATTTCTCTCATTTAAGTGGATATTGCCAAAATGATCCAACAATAATGTTTTTTTTAACTAATACAGTAGTAAATGTTGAAATTAACTAAGATTAATAAATAGTTTTTTCATTGATAGTTAATCTTAATTTATGTAATTAACAAATGGAATATTATTGTAAAGTGTTGACAATTTAAAAGTGCCAATTTTCAAAGGCTTTTCATCAAAAACTTCATAAAATTCATCAAAACTTTTGCAAAAATTTGTGCACAACCTAATTCATATTCATGAGCTAAGCCTTTGTTGATTCATCATAACTAGCTCACCTATGCAAATATGCACTTTTTGATAGCGGGCCATAGAACAATCCTGTCAAAAAAAAAAAATAATTTTTTGCACAATAAATAAATAAATCTGTGGGAAAATGATTATTTTCAACCCTCATTCTGAACCTCTCTTAGAAACAGGCTGTTTTTTAGGGGCGGGTCCTTTAAGGCTTCTTAGTATTTGGCCACTGTTATGATTGGCTAACGTCATTGCATAGGAAACAGTATCAGTGCCCCCTTGCCATTGCATGTTTTGATTGTTGTGACAAAATAATCAAAATAAAACCAAAGCATTATTTACATCAGTTGCTTATGGTTTGTGATTGAGCTGTTTTTATTGATGATGAGGACATTTTAAAGGGGTCCTATTATGCTTTTTCACTTTTTCAACTTTAGTTAGTCTGTAATGTTGCTGTTTGAGCATTAAAAAAGATCTGCAAAGTTACAAAGCTCAAAGTCCAATTCAAAAGGAGATATTTTATTTAACAGAGATCACTTTTCAAAAACTACCACGAACGACTCGTTTGGACTACAACGCATATTTTCCGGGATTTGTGATATCACAAATATCGACGAATGGGACGAGACCTGGTTGAGCTGCACTAGAGAAGGCAACGAGTGTTATCACTATGTC